AAAAAAAAAAAAAAAAAGAAAAAGAATTATCACTTCCTTTCCTTAGAAAATTAATGATAGAATTTGGGAGTAGCCACCTAGTTGGTGGCTTGGACTTAAAGAAAGCTGAGGGCTGGGGATTTACCTCAGTGGTCCACCACCTGCCTCTCAAACACAAGGTTCCGAGTTCAATCCCCAGTACCCCCCAATTTTTTTTTAAATAAAGAAGGCTGAGAGATATAATAAACTGGTTCTGTGTTTTGCCTCAGATGGTTTAACATACGATAATGGCCTTGATGTTAAAGTTCAGAATACAGGGTGCTCACTGCTATTTTCTGTACTACCAAACTTTTAAAGATAGATAACCCACTTACTATCCTGATTTTGCAATGAGGAAATTTAGGCCAGAGAAATTGAGTAGACTTTACAAAGAACATTGAGTAGTTAGTAGTAGAATTAGGCTTGAAGTTATTTCTTCAGACTCATGAATTCTTTTCTTATACTACTCTAAAGTATACACAAACAGAAGATCTGATGACACTCAATAATAAACTTCAGTATATTAAAAATAAATAAACAAACAAACAAATAAATAACATATCCACATACTTCTGTTTTTGGCAGCACTGGGAATGGAACTTAGGGCCCCTTGCATGTTGGACAAGTGCTCTGCCACTAAGTTACATCCCCAGCCCTGATTTGTGCTTTTGTATTCACTGTGTGTCTTAGTTTTATTGTAAGGAGTCGCAATAAATGTTTATAGGTAAATTCTAATGTCACTGTATAATTTTTTACTTTGGGGGATAGTAATGCAGTAATTTGCATAGTGAATTTTAGATTTTTTTGAGATAGCCAGGAGAAGTAAAGCAAGTAGATTAACTTTTTATTGCATTAAATCTCAAGTATTATAAAGTTTTCCTTGTCTTTGTCTACTTTTCTTAGTTGTTTCTTTCCATACCCTTTCTACCTTGGATTTACAGTCATTTAGTATTTATTGTCTATCTGTGCTAAGCACTATTTAATGATATGTGTGTTGTAGACTTTATATCATTTAATACTCTAAACCTTTTAGGTATTTGTATGTTCTCAACTTTATGGAGGAAAATAACTGGAGACTAGTTTAGAGAAGTTAAATAATTTACTTTACAGCTTATATGTACAAAACTAGGAGTTGAAGGTGGGACTTCTGGCTTTCAAGTCCAGTGATTTTCTGTAATGCTGTGCTACTGTATATCTGCATTAAAATTTTAAGTCTAGAATTGGAGCACTGGGCGAAAAAGAAAAGAAGTCTTGAGTGAATTGGCTTTCCTACCATCTGTCCAGGTAGTCATTTTGCTTTTATATCTACTGTTGTAAGCAATGCAGAATTACCTTTTGAATGAAATAGAAATTGGCAAGTGAGATCTATTTGGAAAAATGAAAATAAAACCCCTATTTAATAGAAATAGCAACTAACAAATCCAACGAGGATGTTCTCTAAATGTTCCCTAATGAAATGTATGGATGTTTGTCTTTTTCAGTCTAATTCCAAGCTGAAGTTAGTACGCAGTCTGGCAGTATGTGAGGAGTCCTCTACTCCATTTGCTGATGGGCCACTAGAAGCCCAGGTGGGTCATTTACAACAGTAAGTGTAGTTTGTTGTTGTTGTTTTTGTTTTTAAACAGGTTCTTGCTACGTAGTCCAGACTGCCCACGAACTCATGGCAATCCTCCTGCCTCAGCCTCTCAAGTGCTGGGGTTACAGGCATGCACTATCATACCCAGCAAGTGTAGCATTTGAGCATACAAGTATTTGGTGAAGTATAGGGTAACAATCACAACATCATCGTCAGGCTTGGAAATCAAGGAAGAGGATACTTTAAAACAAAAGCTGTTGCAGTAAGGCAGAGTATGGTAAGAACATGAAGTATAAGTCATCTTCATATCTTGATGACACAGGATAATATAGACAAGGAGATTCCAGGGCTGACCCTATTTTCCCATGCACACCCTTCCTCTCTAATAATTAGAATCATTATCCTTCAATTCTTATGCCAGGAACATTCATTGTAACTTGAGCTCTTCATGTAGTAAATTGTGACTGCTAGAAGAAAAGCTTGGTCTCTCTTAGAGTGGACCATAAGTTAAAACAATTTAATTAACAATATGCACTCTTCTATAAATAGAGCTGCTACTTCAAGATTTGTTTCCATTGAGATTCCAAGGAAGTAAAGAAGTTAAAATTTTTTTTCCTCTTTGATTATATTTTTTCCTTTTGTTTAAGGATATAATTCAGTTGCACATCAGCTGCCCCTCTGACAAAGAGGAAGAAAAGTCCATAAAAGATGTCTCCGAAAAGGAAGACAAGGACAAAAGCAAAGATAAGGCCCCAAGGAAGATGCTGTCCAGAGGTGAGGGCTTTTCCCATCACTCATTTGTCTTAGTGCCTGGATCTGTATCACTCTTTACTTTTCATCCTGAAACCTGGTACTTGCTGGCCTGAGGTTTGCTTCTACATTTCTGTTCTCCTCTTCCCTGATAAGATTGTGGGCTTTGGCTTGGGATTAGTTACGATACAAGAATTTCAAGCTGAGAGTGGTGACACACACAGGTAATCCCAGCATTGAGGAGGCTGAGGCAGGAGGATCGCTGTGAGTTCGAGACCAGCCTGGGCTACATAGTGAGTTCCAGGTCAGCCTCAACTACACAGTGAGACTCCATCTCAAAAAATAACAAAAAAAGAATTTTTTTTCCACTTATTTTAAATTTTTTTTTTTTTGCTGGTTCTAGACTCCAGCCAAGAATATACGGACTCCACAGGAATAGATCTACATGAATTTCTTGTAAATACACTGAAAAAGAACCCAAGGTAATAATATGATTGATGTAGCAGGGAAAGGGGATAGCAGCCAATGGGATTCCAAGAGGCCAAGCAGCTTCCCATTATTTTACATTATTAGAATCTAGGCTGTTCATCCCCTCCCCTAATCTTTCTGAAGCATAATTTTATATTATGTGAGAGATTCAGAAGACCCTCACATTGAGGTTTCTGCTTTTGAAAGAATTGAGAAAAAAAATGTGGAAGAAGAATTTCTCTTGTGTCAGAGAAAAAGAAATATGAAGATTTGGGAGGCACAGAAGAAAATAAAAACAATTTACTTGTACATAAACAGAATTACTCTAAAATTCTGTGAATAACAAGATAAGGTATAAATATTGATTCAATTTTTAAGTACAAAGTATGTGTTTATATGACTATGCTACTAACAGATTATTGAAGTGAATACCAAAGTATATGATTAGGAGGGGTTTAAAAATATATAATTGGGTTATTTTTCTTTTTAAAAAATACCATAGGACAGGCTAGTGAGGCCCTGTAGCCTCTGCATTACTGTCCATTATTGAAGTGTGGCTATATCTCTCCCTTTAGCTTCTGTATGCATAAGTTGTATTTATAATATCTGCTTTCAATGTCTATGGGAGGGCTGTGTTTTGTTTTGTTTTAATCTTTTTTTAAACAGGGACAGAATGATGCTGCTAAAATTAGAACAGGAGATTCTGGAATTTATTAATGACAACAAGTAAGTTACTTGTATAAAATACGCTTAGAGGTGGGAAGGGGCACTGGAAAGAAATTTAGGTACGATTGAGGATATCCATTTTATCTTTCCCTCAGTATGAGAATTTTAAAGCAGTCATGAGGGAACAAAGGAGTTAGGGAGAAGCAATCAGACTGGGTTTAAAAATTATATCTGTGAAAATAAAGTAAGGTTTTAAATCTATTATATAGACTTGAGTTGAAAAGAATTTATATTTTTTCAGCAACTCTGCCTTTTCCCAGATTTTACTATCCTTAAATTTCTCCTTTTTTTTTTTTTTTCCCTTGTCAAGCATCCAGATGGGTGGGACTGAGGCCTTAAGAACTAGTCTTAATGAAAATAGAGGATAAGGGTAATCTGTCAAATACTGAGAGAAACCTTTTTGTTTCCTACTGAGTAAATATCTATTTTCCTTAAAAATGTTTCTTTCTCCTAAGAAAATCTCCACTTTAGACCCTGGTAAGAAAAATTAACAGTTGATCATTATTGCTGTCATTTGTCTTATTTCATTTTTCCCCCTGGGTTTCCCTTCAGTAACCAGTTCAAGAAGTTTCCTCAGATGACCTCATATCACCGGATGCTATTACACCGGGTAGCTGCCTATTTTGGAATGGACCACAATGTTGATCAAACTGGGAAAGCTGTCATCATCAACAAGACCAGCAACACAAGAATGTAAGGGAGAAAACCATGGATTGGGAGGATTTCTGGGGATACTCTATTAGGGTGAAAAGGAAGGTATAGAATCAAGATATCTTTTCTTGGGGAGGAAATGAGGTTGTATCACTAATTCTTATTTTTTGTAAGATTTAGAGACAGATTCTAGAGGCACTGATATTTTGTGAAGACTGGCCCTAGCCTCCCTTCACCTTCACTTATAGGACAGATACAACTTGAAAAAAAAGTTTTAGATGCATAAAGAATAGTACCTTCCACTTATGGGAGATCCTGATTCAGTTAATCATTTTTTTGCCCATGCAACAAAATGAATGAGCAGCATGTTTTTTAAAAAAAAAAAAAACCTACAAGATTTCATTAAAACTTACTGTGACTTTTTATTCTAGAAATCCCTGAATAGGAGTCATACAATTTTGTTTGTTTGTTGTCTTTTTGGTTTTTTGAGACAGGGTCTCAATGTATAGTTCAGGCTAGCCTTGAACTCACTGTGTAGATCAGACTGGCCTCGAGCTCATAGCAATCTTCCTGCCTCAGTTTCCTGAGTCCTGGGTTACAGGCATGTGCAGAGTCATACAATTTAAGAGATCCAGCTGGGGATTTAGCTCAGTGGTTCTGGCACTTACCTCGCAAGCTCAAGGACCTGAGTTCAATCCCTGGTACCAAAAAAGCAATTTAAGAGATCTCTACCTAGGGAATCTCATTCCTAACAAGAAGGTTTTTTTCCTCCCTTCCTGTCACATGTCTTTCCAAATCTCAGCCCTGAACAGAGATTCTCAGAACATATAAAGGATGAGAAGAATACAGAATTCCAACAGAGATTCATTCTCAAGAGAGATGATGCCAGTATGGACCGAGATGATAACCAGGTGAAGAATGGAAAAGGGTGGGCCTATAGAGAGAGACTGCAGTAAGAGAAACTGGGAAGGGAGAAGTTTTGTCGGATGGAGAAAACTCATACCATCTTAGAATGAAAAAATTTATGAGTTATATTGATTGGCTTTGGCTTAATATTGAGGACTGACTTATACTAATTGAGCTGGATGCCACCCTCTCAGCCTCAGAGAGACATGGTGCTGAGGTTTGCTGGGTGATCTCATTTGGCCTAGAATTCCTTGGGTCTACTACTGACTTCTAACTCTATATCATTTTAGACAAAATAGGGTTCCCCGTGTGCCTCATTCTGAATCCAGCTGATAGTTTCATTCTTTTTTTTTTTTTTTTTTTTTTTTCTTTAATTGTTAGGGATTCTTTCTGGAACCACCAAAAGTTACTTTATCCCACTTCCATTCTTATCCTAGCTCAGAGCTAGCTTAGAACCCTCAATGATGTAGTCTAATTAAACCAGTTAAAAAGATATCTCTGATCCCTTTTTGCAAACTCCTTAATCTTTTCCCAACTCGTTCCACCAAGGTGAGTGTGTTAATTTAACTTTTGATGCTGGGAACCTTGGGCAGTGTGCCCTTTAATATAAACTCCTGGAGGAATAAGAAATGAATAACTGGTCTTATCCCTTCATTTATGGGCTGGTCCCTGGCCCACTCTTTAGATAGTGATTGTTTAGGGGTTAGTTTTCCTAGTTAAGTAAATTGTTTACAGTCTGACTCTGCTTGGCCTCCAAAGGGGTTTGAAGAGTGTGGCTGGGTAGAGCCAATATGAGTCTTGCAAACTATTTGTAACTGTAATAATCCCCTACTTTTAGCATCAAAATTAGTTTTCTTGGGAATTGGTATGGTCTTGAGAACAGGGCCTTTTTTGCTTGTTATTTGAATATTAGAGGAAGTCCTTTTGAGGAAAATGACATTATCAAATAGAGACAAACACGCTGGGTCTGATGAAAAACAAAGAAACTTACAAAAAGACAAAATTAAAAAAAAAAAAAAAAAAAAAAAAAGAGCCTTTCCATCCTGGTGCCCTTTTCTCCATTTTCCCAAAACCCCTTTTCTGTGGATCAGAAATTATTCAGGCCTAGAGGCACATTGGGCAGAGTGGGATCTGTCCTTGTGAACTTTTCATCACTCAGCTTCAGGCTTGGTCCATAAATAGGGTAGACTCTGTACTTTGTCAGATATTAATAATAAGCATAATATTGCTTTTTTATTGTTTTTTACTGAACTAGGCTCTGTTCTAAACGTGTGTTACTGGCCCTAATTTACACATAAGAAAACTGAGGCTAAGGGATGTTAAGTTATTTGCCTGAAGTTGTATTTCTAGGACAGAGCTGAGAGTCTATCTGACCTCACAGCCTGTTATGCTCTTACCACTCTGCCATTGGTTTACCAGTGCTAGCTGCTAAAGACAGTAGAGTTCCTTAAGGTCCTGTGTCTTCTTAGAATGTAATTTGTAGGACAGTTGGTAGAATGTAGGTTCGTAAGGAGAGTGAGAATAGAATCTGTTCAAAGAAGAGACTCCTGGTATTTTTGACTGCTTTCGGAGACTGATGAAGATCGGGAGCATCAGCCTAGTTAGAGTAGCAGTCTTCTTGGTCAGTTCATCTGAAGCTTTCAAAGCCTCTGGATACAGAGTACCTGTATCCTGGTGGCATTCAATGAGTTCTTTCTCAGTTTCTTGTCTTCACAAGCAGTATGGAAAATGGTCCTCTATTATACCCTCCCAGGACAGTGTTCATAAATGGCAGACCAGGAGAGGAAAAGACAATAATGGAGAATTAGATGATGCTCCCCACAGTGGTAATCTGCCTAGACATCCCTGCTAGTCACCTCACTGCATTTGTCAGAGAACATAAAGTTCTCTACTCTTTTTCCTTCTTTTCTTTTTCTGTCTCATTATACCTCATTTATCTGTTCCTGTCTCTGCCCATCTTTCTATTCTGTCTTTTTTTTTCTCTTCTGTTCTTTGTGTTGCTCTGTTCTCTTTATTTCTATAATTTCTCTCTCTTTGTTGCTCTAACTTACTGTAATTGAGAAAAAATGTCAAGTCTTTGAGTTTAGCTTCGCCTTTGGGATTTCATCTCCAAGGCCCCCGTTGCTAAGCTGTGTGTGACTTGGGTTGTCAGGCTATGGCATTAGTGACTAAAGAAGGGATAATGTCAGGTATGTGCTAAATTGTAAACCTTCTCCTCTACATTCAGCTCTCTAGTAAACATCTATGTCTTCTCCCTCTCTAGCTTCCTGCTATCCCTTGCTTTTCCTAAAACAATGTTTATTTTCCTAGGGCTGTTTTCTTGATCCTTACTGACTAGAGACAGTACCTGATTATTATAGGGAAGCAACCCAGTCCTTATAAATAGTTATTATTCTTGATTCTGGGAGGGTGGGGAGATGGAGAGTCCTCAACCATCTAGAAAACCTGCTCTCCCAAACTGCATGGTCAGATGTACCCAGTGAAGTCTGTCCAGGACTGGAAATTTTATTTCTTTTTTTTTTTTTTCATTTTTTTTGATGGCAACTATAAACTTTCCCGGTTTCTCTTCCTTGCTGGTGTGCAGTGAGCTTGCAGTACGAGGAGAACTTAACTAGCTTAATTCTGCTCATCGATCTAGATCAGAGTTCCATTGCAGGATGGAAGGAGGAGCAAGTCAATAGAAGAGAGAGAGGAGGAATATCAAAGGGTCCGAGAGAGAATATTTGCCCGAGAGGTAAGTGTAGCTTCTGAGAGTTGTCAGCCCATAGCTTTTAGCTCTAAATCTTTGGAACTGTGAATGGAATGAACCCTCCATAAATGTTATTGGGGTTTTTTTTGTTTTGTTTTTTGTTCTTTTTTTTCTTTTTAGCCAACGTCAGCCAATCCCAGATTTGGTCTCTAAAATTGAATGTGGCTTTTTGAGAAGCTACAGTTTTATTTTTATTATAATACATTCTGCTGTATGGCACATAAAGAGAACTAAAACTTGAAGTGGCTGAATTTGGTAAACATGATAGACTAAAAATAGAAATGGTTTTAGCAGGGCTGATGGAAGGGCCTTGAATCTTGTCTGTCAAACCCTCCTCCCGCTCACCCTCTTACACTCCCACTATTCATTTTAGGCATTTTTGCTTCTAAGTGGAAGACTTGGGATCCATACAGGGCTTATATCCATTCATCTTGTTTGACTAGTTTCATTTTTCGGATATGCTGGTGATTGTTACAGTGCTGTTCTAACATGCATCTTCTGCAGGCACCACATTCCACATGCACAGAGGGTACTCCTACTTCCCTCTAGTCACTAAATAAATGGGAAGTCGCCTTCCTATATTTCTTACTTTGCCTCCTAGAACAGGACTTGCTCCATGATCCAGAGGGCAATATGAATTAATTTAGGCAACTTTATCCTTAATAGCAGACCATATTAAATATACTTGGTGCCCCTGTATCTGAATAACTTTGCCTACCAGTTGAAGAGAAGTTTAGTATAAATTCAGGAAGGGGAATGGGTTCAAGAGATGAATAGATCTCTAGAAAATGTAGGATCCAGATAACAACACCATCTCACAGTCAGATTAGCAACAAAGAAAATGTAAATCAATACACATAGGTGGACACTACCCTCTTCCCATTCTTCCACTCTTTTTCAATAAGAACAAAGAAAAAATAACATATTGTCTCCAAAAGAAAACTGGACTCCTGTGTACTTGCTGCATTGTCTCAAGAAAACCAGGTGGCTCTTAAGGATCCTCACTGGGGTCTGATACACTGCAAGCTTTCTGGCTAAAAGTCCAAAGAGAAACAGTCTTCTTACCTCCTGTTTCATAGACTTCCATTCTGAGTCAGAATAGCTCAGAGAGAGTTTTCTGCCTTTACCTGCAAACCTGTTGGGTGGAACAAGAGGAGAGATGTCATTTGTACATCACTGGGTTGTAGCCAGTGATGACTCTTAAATGTGGACAGAGAAGATTGATGGATAATAATAGCAACCACTTATATAGTGCTTATTATCTTTTAGGCATTCTTAGCCCTTTATGTAGGTTAACTTATGTAATTCTCACACTAGGCCTATGAAGTAAGTTAGATTATTTTCCCCACTTTATAAATGAGAAATAGGCACAAGGGGGTTCAGTAAATACATAAGGTCACATTACTAGATAGCAAAAGAGCTGTGTTTGAGTTTAGGTGATCTGGCTCCAGAGTCCATGTTCTTATCTAGAATGTAAACCGCCTCTTGATAGCTTGCTTTGTTCTGGGCTTTTCAGATGAAGAAGACCCAATGACAACATAGCCTAGCTAACTGTCTTTGATACTCTCCTCTGCTTTGCTGACACATGGGAAATGACTACTGTGCTATACCATCCCTTAGCAAAGCCACAGATGTTCTGAATCATAGGGAACTTATAATAGTATACTGGGACTTGGTATCAGCAACAATAGAAAATTTCTACCTACAGCCATAACAAGGGCAAATTTAGCTCTTCTCTCCTTTTTTCCTCCTGATTTCTGGTCTCTCAAGCCTCTACTAATATATGCATTCTTTGTTAAATCCTTATGGATTTATCACTTTCATTTCAGCACTTCCTAGATCTTGCCATGGTAGAGGCCTCAGGAATCTTAAAAGATCTAGATAAGAATAAATGGCCAAAGCCTGCCATCCGCCAAAGATTTCACGTGGAGAGGAGCCTGGCCAGTCAGAAGGAGTGATTAAGGGTGAAATTGTAGATTGCAGTGGGGGTAAGGGAGCAAGAGGCAGGCTGAAAGAAAGGGAGGTGGCAAGAAGGGTGTTCGGATGGAAATGCTGCTGCAGCAGCCTTCCCTGGAGCCTGAGTTGTGTGTCGGGAAAGCTGCCCAAATAGGTTCTGCTCTGTGTGGAACCCACTCTGCCCAGCAGTTGGACACCCTTGGTACCTTTTCTAAGGCTTGGGAGTCCACTAAATGCTCACTTCATTCAGCTTGGTGGCTTTGTCAGAAAATGATCCCTAGAAAGAATATTTCAGTCTTTTAATTTTCTCATTTTTTTAGGTTCTAAAAAGTACTTGCTTCCCCAGTACCTACCCACCTTGGGTCTCAGGTCACAATATCCTTCATTTTGGCCAGTGCAGAGGACAAAAAGGGAATAGCCATTGAGGTTTGTTTCCAGAAAGTGAAATTTCTCTCTCATGAGTCTCCTTTTTTCTCTCCTTTGAACACACCCTCTAGGACCAAATACATCAATTACTAAGTTTGGCTTATTCCTAAAATAAATTTAAATCAATAAATTTAGAGTTAATGAGGAACTAATAATTAGGTTAATAACTTTTCTCTTCCTACTTTCCATACTCCTTTTTTTATCTCTTTTTTAAACATTGTGGGAAGGCTAAAAATTATGAATGCTCTTTCCCATTAAAGGTGAGAAGTCAGATTGGGTGCTTGGGTGTGGGTTATCTTGTCCCTGTTCCTTTTCCCTATTGGTGGGGTGAGTCCTGGTTTGAGGACCTTGGGTATTCATAGCATCACGGATTTCCTTTTCTGTTATGCCATGCTGTTTTCTTATAAGTTATTTTCCATTTTCTCCCCCTTACCTAGACTGGCCAGAACGGATATCTAAATGACATCAGGTTAGTACCATTTAGCATGTTCCCTGCTTCTCATTGAGCTTTGTCAGTGAGGTTAATATGATCCTGTAATGATGCTTTTTTTTTTCTTTTTTTGGATGTTAACCAACAGACTCTCCAAAGAAGCCTTTTCTTCTAGCTCTCACAAGAGAAGGCAGATTTTTAGGTACCTTTGTGTGATCTATATCTCTCTCTTATTTTTATTTTGTTTTGCTGTAATCTTCTCGGCAGAGTGGGTTTGCTCCATGCATGGCTGCTTGTGGAACAATTAAATTTGTGGATTTTGCAACACTGAATATTTTTCCCCATTTAAAAAAAAATGACTCCTGCTTAATTACTTTATTTTTGTTGTTGTTGATTACACTTGGAATCATAAATAAATGGTAAAGAGGACCAAATAGGTTTGTCTAGGATAGTTTCTGCTCCCTCCCAGAAGTTTGCTGCAATTTGGGCATTTTAAAAAAATTCAAACACACACGCACGCTTGTGCGTGCGTGTGTGTGTGTGTGTGTGTGTGTTTAAGGTAAGAGAATGTGTATCTTCTGGCTTCTTTTTCTGAGACTCTGGAAAGATATGGAAAGCTTAGCCTTCACCCAGCACAAGAAATGCTTTATATCTTTGGGATATAATAATGTGTATACACATGTAAACCCTTCTGTGTAGTTTTCTTTTTAAAATGTAATGTATAAGATGACCTTAGAAAGAACTTAAAGGAGCCATTTGCCTGGGAATGGACTTAGAATGTGTCCTTTTTATGATCGTCCATTACTTCCTTTTAATGTTGGCAGAAAGTGCTGCTTACCTTATTAACCTTCCCAATGCATAATATCCTCTGTTTTCCCCCAAAGCAATCATAAGGATTTTCCCTCTCATTTAGTCTCTCAGTCCCATTCCAAAGGATTGTACAAGGCGGATGTGAGAGAAGCACTACTTTACTTTTCTATACTAGTACCAACTCATATTACATATATTCTTCCCAGTTTATCAACAGGAAAACTATAGAATACAGAATACAAAGATCTTGAGTGTTTAACACTATAATTAGGGAATAACCTTTTCTGGTTGTTTTTTCAGTTTTTTAATCCCAAGCTTGAGGGACTATTTGACTAGAGATCTCATTCCTAGTACTTCAGTTGTTCCTTCTCTATTGTCCTTTTTAAATCTAGTCAAACTATGTAGAAATTGAGGTAGTGAGATTTCTTATTTTTTTCTCTTTCATTAGAGATTTCTCATTCTTATAATGGAGGATTTCCATCTTCCTGAACTCTTTTTTTTTCCTAGACTATCCCAACCTGAGGCCCATCTGAAAGTCCCAGGCAGGGAATACTTTGCATTGTTAGTGGTAGGAAAGATAGATAAAATCCCCACATTTGAAAACAAAAAAACTATGGTCTATAGTTCTACACTTCAGGGTCATAGTTCATCCTAAATGCCTATACAGTGATAAAAAAAAAAAAAAAAGAGTTTTAAACACATTCCTTCATGGTACTGTATGATTGCCAAAGTATGCATTATCTAATTCAGTTCTCTCAACATCCTGATTTGTTCAGCTGGTTTACATCTAGGAAAACAAAAGAAGAGATAAATAGCTAGCCCAAGTTTACATGGCTGTTAGTAAAACTGAGGCTGATTCTTTGTCCAGTGTTCTTTTTATTGTACCACACTGGCTTTCTGCAAGCATCACTCCTTTCCTAAGTAGTGTTCTATTTGGAGCCCTAATTCACATTCACTGCTAAGAATTATGCCCTTCTTTTGTGGAGCATCAGTCTACATCAAACTGTACAGATAATAGCTTGAAAATCTGGTGAGCAAGTGCAGCCCTTACCTCTCCAGATCTCCTTTAAGCAGCTGCTTTTCAAACTGAAATTTGGTTACAGAGCTACATCATCTAAAATGTAGCATCACAGACTTTTAAGGGGATAACTTCTTCCCCTCTTTGGATGCTAGCTCAGAACTCTAGAAGCTGATCTTCTCTTAAAGCTTCATACTTTTCTGTTTTAGTTTATGTTTGTGAACACTGATATACCACATTCCATCATCATGCTGGAAATAACTATGATAATTTCCTGAGTTTGATCCCTGGTAGCCAAAAAACAAACAAACAAACAAACAAACAAAAACTACTCCATTGATAAGCCACAGTGAGATTTATAGCTATTTATTGGCACCCCTTCCACAGATCTCCTTGTCCACTCCTCAGCTCCAACTTACTAGACTTTTCACCAACATTAAATATAGTTGTAAAAGCCAGGGACTTAGCTCAGTGGTTCTGCCACTTCCCTTGCAAGCTCAAGGTGTCCCAAGTTTTGATCCCTGGTACCAAAAAATATATATACTTTAAAAACTGAACTCTGATTTTACAGGAATATGAGATTTGAATGTTCTTTATCCTTTACCCCTACCTTTAACATATACGCAACCCAGTCTGGTGCTCAGAATTGAATCTAGTTGACCATCCCTAATTGCCGTATTTTTAGTGACATGAAAGACAAATGACTGGGAATTAAGTTTATTTGTAGAGAGAGAAACTGATCTCTTTCTTGATAAAACTTAGATTCTGACTCTCAAGTAGTGCACTGATCCAGGTTAGTCAGAATATCATCAGGCAATCCACATTTTGAGCATCTGGCCATCACTGTCTTGGGGTAACTAGATGAGTATAAAAGTACTGCCATTTGGGCATAGCTTCCCAGGGTATTTGGTTTGAAATTGCCTTATTCATTGTCTACCTCTGAGAGCAAAAGAAAAATAAATGACAGGATTGCTCTAATATATAGAAAAATATTTGGTTTAGGTGGGAAAGGCCATTAGTTTGTCTTGCAAAGTTCAAACTCTAATATCTAAATAAATAGCCCTCATCTGTTACTACTCTGTAGTAACAGATATCCCAGATATACACGCATTTTTATTGCACTCTCAGTAGACTGGCCTTTGTCCATTGAGACAGAGCTATTGGCTCTCACTTCGGGCCTGGTTCTGTTCCTAGAATACCCCTAATTTATTTCTCTTTTGTTGTTTCCCATTTTGCTGTTGCTCTTTCAAGAGAAAGGGTTGTAGTTTGAGGGAAACAGGAAAACTTTGCAATCCCCTATTTTAACTATACAGAAAGAAGCACTGATATTCTTTATATATTTCCTTGGGGTGGTAGAGAGTTACCACATTCCTAACCAGTTGTGCTCTTAGCACCTCATGGTTGGCTTGGTTAGTAAAAATTGAAAAAGTGACCCTAGCAAGTGCCCCTTTTTCCTACAGTGCCTTTGAAGTAGGTCTTCTAGTAAAACAAGATGCTTTCTTTATTTACCTCTTAAGAAAATACCTTTACTCTTGGACATGGTGGTGTATACCTGTAATCCCAGAACTCAGGAGGCTGAGGCAGGAGAATCACTGTGTGAGTTCAAGGCCACTGTGGACTATCTGAACTACATAGCAAGACCTTGTCTCAAAAAACAAAAACAAACAAATAAACAACAACCACAAAAACCCTTTATTAGACTAGCTCTGAGTTTAATCCCTTTAGAACTAAGACAATTGGAATAAGGTTTTCTATTTGTTTTTGGTGAGATGGTGGTGAAAAGGAGAGCATCCAAGCTACTAAGATTTTTGCCTAATTGCTGCATAGTATACATACTGAAATAATTGGTAGTTGTTAAGCTGGGCATGATGGCTGATGTGACAGGATCATAGTTAGTTTGAGCCCAGCCTAAGCTACATACTGGGTTCCATGCCAGACCCTGTCTCCTAAAACCAAAATAAATAAGCAAACCAAATCTTTATAATTGTTGCCATTTGGTTTCCTGAGTTCAGTAGTTACGGGGGTGGATATGTGAAAAAATTTCTGCTTCTTGGCTTCTCATTAAGAATCAATAGGGGCAGAGCCAGGGACGTAGCTCAATGGTGCTGTGCCCGCCTGGCAAGTGCAAGGTTCTGAGTTCAATACCCAGTACCAAGAAAAAAAAAAGCAAAAAGAATCAGTAGGAGCTGAATAAGACAGTCTTGCCTATCTTGACACATGCTGCTGTTTATAATACAGATAGTGATTATAAAATCAGGACAGCTGTGACGTTTCGGAGCAAGATAAAACCCCTTTTCTCACCAGTTTTGTGCCTTCTCTAGTGGGATTATCAATACAGTAAATCCCCAACTTAAGTTCGATTCCCAGAGAATTGTTTAAAGTTGGTTTCATTCATAACCCAACAGAGTGAGTCTTAGTACACTAGTGAAAGTTCACAACTCGAATGTTCCTAAGTCAGGAACATATTGTACAGAGGCATTTAGGCCCATTGCCACTCTTGAGTCCTGAGTGCATATTTACTAGATATTGCTGAAGACTTAAGCCCTTAGAAACTCTAGACCCAATTGTTCCCAGATACCAACATGGAATTTCCACATAACAGGTGGAGTCAACTCCTTATTACCAGACTGTCTACTATACTCTTTTTTTTTTTTTTTTTTTTTTTACCCC